TAATGTTTTAATGCTAAACAAGAGACCACGGCAGTCCATCCCATCTATGCTGCTTTGGCTAATAAGGAAGTATTACCCTGAGCAGCAATGGGCAGCTTTGATTGGCTGAGAGTGTCAGCTGACTGTCAGAGTTCCAACTGATGGTATGAATGGGTATGACAACAAGTAAGTGTGTAATTTCTGCTTTAGCTACACATACAGAAGGGGCCGGACTGTGGGTGGCCGGGGACTCTTATTTTGTGGCATACTGCACAAACATGGTGCAACACTGAATGGAGGGACTGTGCCAGGGCACTCCAGGCACTATAACCAATTCAAAGAGACAAAGTGGTTATAGTTACTACAGTGTCCCTTTAAAGAAAGTTTGATTCCAAAAGGCTTACGCTTGAAAAAATTACCAGCTAATGGTTTAGACCAGGGGTAGGCAACCTTTTAGCAGCACTGTGCCAATATAGGAATGTGATGTCCCGTAGCGTGCTGGTCCTATTTTTTTAAATTGAGGTGTGTATTCTGCTTGTGTTATTTTTACTGTGATCGCTTTGTATTGTTGTATTTGTGCGTATAGGAGCTACTATATTGTATATGTTCATTAGTAGTTTATGGTATTGAGTATGATACGTATGAATGTGGGCTGTGTATGAGGGCTGCTTGTGGAATTGTGTGTGGATGGATATGTCACAGTGTGTGTTTGGTAGTGTGTGGGGGCTGTTTGGTGTATTGCATGTGAGAGGCTGCATGTGGGGTTGTGTGCATGTATGTGGATTGTTAGCGGGCTACGTTTGTGCGGATTGTGTGTATGTTTGTGTGTTGGCTGTTTGTATTATTTGTATGAGGGGAGGGTTATTCTGCATTTCTGTTTATATCTAGCAGTGTGGGTGACTTTCCTGGGTTCCAGTGGGGACCAGGCTGGCCTGGTACAGGTCAAGGACAGGAGCTGCAACAGCAGCTGCAGGCTGCTCTACTACAGATCAAGATCACTTCCTCTACGTGCTGCAATGCATAAATTGAGGATTGTCCTTCACCACCTCTTCGTATTAGCAGATATCTGAAGTTTTACTGGGACTCCTGATAGGCTAGAGCCTGTTTGGCTCTAGCAGCCTTGAGTGCCGTGCAAAGACACCTTGAGTGCCGTGCATGGCACTAGTGCCGTAAGTTGCCTACCCCTGGTTTAGACCATTCAAAACCCGCTAAAAATGGGATTTAGCATTGGAAAAATGGTCCACAGTACTCATGGAAATTATAATTGACTTTGAGAAAGATAACCTTAAAGAACTTACTAAAGAAATGGAGGTACTAGAAAATAGTATCCCCTTAGATAAAGACAGCACAGATTATAAAAATAAACAAAACGTTCTCTTAGAGAAAGTAAACAAAATTGATGAGAAAATAGAGGCGACTAAAAACAAAAAGTATATGAGATAAAAATGACAAAGCAAATAGTTTCCATTTGAGAACTAAAACCACAAATAGAAAAGTTACCAAATTTAATAGTGGATTTAATTATACAAAATCAAACAACCAAAGTAAAAAAGCTTTAAATATCCCAGCCAATAATACCCACCCTGTTTATTCATCACATTTTCATAGGACAAATGATAAAGAAAGACCAAAATGACCTTTTAACAATTCTCCTAATAGTGGCCAACAGGATAAAACTAAAAGAAAAATTAGAGAACTGGACCAGAAATCTAACTCTAACCAGGACAGTCCTAATGCTTTTTTAGATCAGGATCACAACCCAAAGGAAAAAAGAGAGAGAACTCAGTTTTCTTTTCTCCAAAGCTACCAAGGTTAGATTTAACAAACCGTTTTGCCCCACTTGGGGACTGGAATGCCCCGGGGGAAAAGGAGAACAAGGTGAGAGGTGATAGAAGAGATTTAGATCAGATTGCTTTGGAGAAAGGTATTCTCAATATCTCAGGGGTTCAATTTACCCATGAAGAAATTGGTATTTTGGAAAAAGGTTTAAAGTTTGCACTGAATGTTCCAGCGAATAATTTTTATCTCTTCATAGACTTAAATAAATTTATACGTAAAATGATTTTTTTCTAAAAAACAAAAGGAATTTTTTGCTAATCCCAAATCCAACACCTTTACAAAGGAACAGCCTTTAATACCTTTCAAACCTAAATCTACTTTTTGCCCCAATGACAAAGGTAGCCAGCTTCATGCTTTCTTGAAAATGATTATTAACCCCTTAGTGGCCAGACCGTTTTTCAATGTTCTCACCATTAAGGACCAGGGCTGTTTTTACACTTCTGCTGTGTTTGTGTTTAACTGTAATTTTCCTCTTACTCTTTTACTGTACCCACACATATTATATACCGTTTTTTCTCGCCATTAAGTTTTCTTTCTAAAGATACCATTATTTTCATCATGTACTATAATTTACTATAAGGAAGATTATAAAATATGATGAAAAGATGTAAAAAAACACACTTTTGCTAGCTAGCCAAAATCTGTTACGTAGCTACAACTGCAAAAAACCCCAAAAAACTCCATGCTAAATAGTTTCTAAATTTTGTCCTGAGTTTAGAAATACCCAATGTTAACATGTTCTTAGCTTTTTCTTTTGCAAGTTATAGGGCTATAAGTACTAGTAAAACATTGCTGTTTCAAAATATGTTTTTTTTTAATTTATCAGTAGTGACATTGTCACACTATTATCTGTCATAAATCTCTAAATCACACCTCATATGTACATATTTTTTTTAAAGAAGACAACCCAGGGTATTCAATATGGGGTATGTCCAATCTTTTCTAGTAGCCACTTAGTCAGAAACACTGGCCAAAGTTAGCATTTATATTTATTTGTGAATTCAAAATGCAAAAACCTATTATGAACGCTAACTATGGTCAGTGTTTGTGACTAAGTGGCTACTAAAAAAGATTGAACAAACCCCATTTGCAATACCTTGGGTTGTCTTCTTTTGTAAATGGTACGCAGTCATGGGGGTAATTCTCATTACTGGACTACCATACGCTCTCAAAGGCAACATAACCAATCTGGCAAATTTCAATGTAAAAACAGAAAATCAAGCCTAATATTTGACCCTGTAATTTTCTAAACACTATAAAACCTCTACATGTGGGTACTGTTATACTCGGGAGACTTCACTGAACACAAATATTAGTGTTTCACAACAGTAAAACGTGTCACAACAATGATATCATCAGTGAAAGTGCCATTTGTGTGTGAAAAATGCCAAAAAATACACTTTAACTGACAATATCATCGTTGTGATATGTTTTACTGGTTTGAAACACTAATATTTGTGTTCGGTAAAGTCTCCCGAGTAAAACAGTTACCCCCCCCCTCATGTACAGGTTTTAGGGTGCCTTGGGAAGTTACAGGGTTAAATATAGTGCTAGCAAATTAAATTCTCTGGACTTTTGGCATGGGTTGTCAGACAGGTCCCCCAAATTGCAATCAATAAAATTACTTATTTATGTAAAAATAGTACATAAATATGCACGTAGAATTTAAATATGTATATACATATTTTTATATTCTACTTGTATATTTATGAAAATATTTATGTAATTATGTATATGAACAGATGTATATGTCGTATTATTTTTATTTATATATACACATATATATAATTTTCTTCCATTTTCTTATTTATCTGTTATTGATATAAATATATATTCTATTATCAAAATACAGTTGGAATAAAATTACACACACACACACACATATATATATATATATATATGTATATATATATATACTTTTTTGTAATTTTATTTTTACATTTTTTAAATTTATTTAAAAAAATATATATATGTGTGAAATTCATACTCTAAGTGTATTTTTATATTAATATAGGCATATATTAACAACAAAAAAATACTTAGTATGACTTTATATATGATATATATATACATATTATAGATTTATATATATATATATATATATATATATATATATACACACTGCTCAAAAAATTAAAGGGAACACAAAAATAATACATCCTAGATCTGAATGAATTAAATATTCTTCTGAAATACTTTTTTCTTTACATAGTTGAATCTGCTGACAACAAAATCACACAATAATTAAAAAAATGGAAATCTAATTTTTCAACCCATGGAGGTCTGGATTTGGAATCACACACAAAATTAAAGTGGAAAAACACACTACAGGCTGATCCAACTTTGATGTAATGTCCTTAAAACAAGTCAAAATGAGGCTCAGTAGTGTGTGTGGCCTCCACTTGCCTGTATGACCTCCCTACAACACCTATGCATGCTCCTGATGAGGTGGCCAACTCCTGGACAGTCTGTGGTGCAATGTGATGTCGGTGGATGGAGCGAGACATGATGTCCCAGATGTGCTCAATTGGATTCAGGTCTGAGAAATTGGTGGGCCAGTCCAAAGCATCAATGCCTTTGTCTTGCAGGAACTGCTGACACACTCCAGCCACATGAGGTCTAGCATTGTCTTGCATTAGGGGGAACCCAGGGCCAACCGCACCACCATATGGTCTCACAAGTGGTCTGTGGATCTCATCTCGGTACCTACAGGGAGTGCAGAATTATTAGGCAAATGAGTATTTTGACCACATCATCCTCTTTATGCATGTTGTCTTACTCCAAGCTGTATAGGCTCGAAAGCCTACTACCAATTAAGCATATTAGGTGATGTGCATCTCTGTAATGAGAAGGGGTGTGGTCTAATGACATCAACACCCTATATCAGGTGTGCATAATTATTAGGCAACTTCCTTTCCTTTGGCAAAATGGGTCAAAAGAAGGACTTGACTGGCTCAGAAAAGTCAAAAATAGTGAGATATCTTGCAGAGGGATGCAGCACTCTTAAAATTGCAAAGCTTCTGAAGCGTGATCATTGAACAATCAAGCGTTTCATTCAAAATAGTCAACAGGGGGGGCGTGTCCGGCAGCCGACCAAGATGGACGTGTGAACCCGGAGCTCCTCGTGGCGCCCGCATCCAAGCCGCAAGCAACCCGCTAACCCCGCTCGCTGCACACAACAAATGGGTCGCACAAAGAAGCTTACCGACCCGGGAGGCACCCCGAGGCCCGCGGGTCCCGGAGGGGACCACACAATAAGGTCCTATCTGCATCCCACTACCCGCGCACAATCCCCACAGCCGGAAATGGAGGCCGCAAACCAAGCGCCGGACTCCACTCCATCCACTCCGGCCAGGCACTCACCTGCCTTATCCTATGCATCCGAACCTCAGATGCTGCAGGAGGATGGATGGAGGGATATACTGCCCAACCTCCTAACGAAGACTGACTTCGAGGCCCTCTCAGATCGCCTAGGCCGGGTGGTACGTGAAGAAGTGGCCCAACTCCGTGCTGATATGGCAAACATGGAGGCCCGTATGTCCGTGGCAGAGGCAGAGACAAAAGCCCTCCGGACAGACCTGGAACACACCAACACGGCAGTCACAGGCCAGGAAGCAGACATGGCATACCTCACCACGTGGATAGATGACCTGGACAACCGCGGCCGCAGACTGAACCTACGCGTCCGCGGGGTGAGGGAAGGAGGCCCGTCGGAGAATATTCCAGACACGCTGCGGCAAATATTCACGCAGGCACTGGGGGGTCAGCACATACCCAGACTAGGCCTAGTAAGGGCACACAGAGCTCTGAGACCCCTGCCAGCCCCAGAAGACCAGCCCAGGGACATCATATGCTGCCTAGATAACTACCAGCTAAAGGAGGAAATATTGCGCACGGCCCGCCGTATGGGAACCGTCCGCCTGGAGGGGCAAAATATAGCCATTTATCAAGATTTGTCCCGCTATACACTACAAGCAAGAAGAGCCTTACGCCCGGTGACCTCGGCCCTACAACAAGCAGGTATCCCGTACCGCTGGGGCTACCCATTTTCCCTGACAGCTAGACAGGGCCCGGACCAAATAACGCTGAGGAAATCAGAAGAAGTCCCAAGCTTTCTACGCACCCTAGGCCTCCCGCCAATACAAGTACCCGACTGGCTAACAAGGTCGTTCCTCCAGCAACCACCAGGACCGCAGCAACCACGCAGACAGGATCTGAACCCCCAAGGGCCCCAGCACCAGCGCCGCCGTGACTGGAATCAAGGCCAGGCAAGGCGTGAGCGATAAACAGACCATCAAACAGCCTGGGGGGGACCATAGGGCCACAGTGAGAACGCACCGAACTGTGAGTAACAAATACGGGGACATACACAAGAAAACGCAAGATGGACTGGGGTGGGAGAGGGCTACCAGGGGGCCTGAGGGGACTAACGCATAACTCCACACGCACCTATTTACTAGAAGGTGGGGAACTGGACAATTGGGGTGGGGACTGGGAGCGCGGGCCGGGCCAAGGGGCCAGAATGGCTGTAGGCAAACCCACACACAACACCCAAGCCATATAGAACCACATGGCACATTACATGGTCACGAAACTACACGCACACACGAGGTCACACTAGAGGTGGGAGGGAGGGAACGGGGAAGGGAGTGGGGGGAAGGGCATGGGCTACGCAAGCACTGAGTGAGGAAACAGACGACAGTATGCACACAGATTGAAGGGGGAGGGGGGAGGCAGGGGGGGAAAGGGGGAGAAAACGGGTACACAGGGATGAAGGAGGCAAAGGGGAGGGGGGGAAGGAAAGGGGGAGG